AGATAATCTCTTCTTAGATTTACATCGACTAACTTACGACGTGATCTATGGTATGCGAATTTGAGTTGTAACAATTTTGCCATCTTCTCTTCTTCTTTAATTGAATTAACTAACCAATACTAATCTTCATAGTAATTAAATTGAATTTTAAGGACATAAATTCATATCAACACTACAAGATTGATATTAACTGCATTTATATTCACAAAACATCTAGGTAAGCTATGAAATAAAAATAAAAATTTAACTGCATAAGCTTCAACTTACTCTTATTCAAATCAATAGCAGAAGGCATGTGCTTCGTCCCATAATTTGTGTAGATAGTCCATGTGCTACACATAATAATTTAGTAAGTTATTTATATGAAAAAATACTAAATTTGATATCATTATATTAGCATAATACATGAACTCAAAATGATTGGATATCAAGGATAATTTTATGTTAAAAAGGAAAAACATATTTTGATTTGCAATGAAAAGGATAATGAATCGAAATTGAAAATAAAATTCAACCTCCAATAAACAACGATCCGTTAGAGAAACTCATATATGCACTAAATATTTATTATTTAGCTAAAATTCTTAACTACAATTTGCATTACAAAGATCTGTTTGCTCCCTAACAATAGGCTAACAATATAAAACACAAAACTTATATAGAAAACGTATTGCTTTCCTATTAAAATTGAGAATGGTCTAGACACCATCTACTCTTATTTTTCCTCGATTAAACCCTATTACAACTGTTCATTCTAATGTGTTGGTTTACTTTATAGGAGTGTTTGGCTCCTCAATAAACTCTCAAACTAAATTGGAGATATAGTTCAAATTGAAAAAGGATCGAAAAACATATCAAGTTATTCAAATTTATATGAGTACATATGATCCGAAAGTAAGTGTGTCAGCATATGGTCGAAGAAGATGTCCAAAGAGTAATAGGATTACTCTGTCCTAATCGAAAAAGAATTCCAGGATAATTTACAATCACATCTTTAAATTATACAAATATTTAAGAGCATAAAAATCGATCAACATTTCAGAAATATTTTAGTCGTTCAACATTTAACATAAAATATTAGTGTTTTTATAATAATATAGATAGATAGATATAGATATAGATAGATATTATAGATATAGATAGATATAATTTATATATAATATGTGTATAACAAGTGTATAATCTATGTATACTGGCTAAGGAAAGTAAATTATAAATTTGACCGGCTATTTGTGTAAATATTCCTATATGTAATTGGGTTCTTTAGTTGCAGAAACGACATCAGTTAGCCGCTTTGAGCACCACTATTTAAAACATATTCAGATTTTCAGAATTATTTCAAGTTTGATTAATTTTTGACAAAGTTCAGACGGCTCTTATTGCTACTTTGCTATATCTTCTTTGGGCGTTCAGGCATATTTTTCTTCCCTTTTTGAGATGCAAATTTATTAATTCTTCTAAATTGATCTATTCTAGTAATTATTTTTTCACTTGATAATATAACTAATGAATTTAATCTCTAGTGAGACATTGTTGATCTTAGTTACGATCAATTTTACTTTTAAAAAACTTATTTTTCTTAATATTTTTAATTTAGAAAATAAGTCCAAATTATCGATATCAGAATAACTATTATGTTTTAAGGAACTGCAATGTTTGTTAGATTCTCACCATTTGGTGACCTCAGTTTTTTTATCACTAAAGAGAAGACCAAAAATATTTTTATACCTTTCCGATTGTTTGGATCTATTTTGAAGTGGAAAAAATGACTTAGTCCACAATTTTTTTTGTAGACATATTTAAATTCTAATAAATAAATACTTAAAAAAGCAATATACCTATTAATAAATAAATAAAAAATTATAAGCTTTTAAATGAAAAATAATAATTAGAAATTTAGAATAACAAAACTTGGTTCGAGAGGTTAATAAGTTGACGTCGAAAACAACTTTTTATTGCTTCATATACTTGATGTAATACTTGAAAATCCGAAGAGAAACAAAAAAGAATTGCAGTTTACTTTACTCTTGATCGGCTTCTTGATTCTTGTTTTTAACACAAGGAGTAAAAAACACAAGTGGCTCTTGTCTCTTCTTGTTTTTGATAGGGAAGGAGTAAAACATTTTAATACGTATTTTAGTATGATGAGAAAGCCTAAAGGTAAAGAAAGCAAAAACTAAAAATGTGGATCATTTGTTAAAATAGTACAAAAAGAAATTCACTTTCACAGGACAAGATCCCTAAAAAGTGTTTTCTTGTATCCATAAAAATATTCATATTCCCTAGAATAATACTCGATCTTCGCAATAATCATTAAAACAAAAATTTCTTTTCTTTTTCATAACTAGAGAAAAATGGGTTCTTCATCTTTGTGGGGCTAAGGCCTTGGCTTTAGCTGCTTTCTGCTAGAGCCTAAATTCAGACCTTCAATTGCATTCAAACTTGGTAGAGCTTAATTTTGAAACTTCGAACTAACGATTTTAATTCGGCAAAGATTATTTTTAGCCGCGTCAGAAATTATTTATATCTGATAGCTGTAAAAGTGTATAAAATTTATATACTTTTGTATATGACATACATAAATGTATATATATACAAAAAATATATATTCTGTTGTTATTATTTTGAGAGCGACTATACATTGCTATTTTAAAATTCAGATCTCTGAAATTAATTTTAAAGCGGCTAAACTTTAAAATTATTTAGAAAATTCAGATCTCTAAAATTGATTATGAGGCGGCTAAACTTTGAAGAATTTGTAATTGGCTATTCTTTAAATGGAATCCTAATGCACTACCCCCGCACGATTGTTTAGCCCGTGTTTAGGGAAAAATTTTATTTTGTGCCTCACACAACTGACACTAATTGTATGAGACCTCTTTTTTGTGTCACAATTTTATGGTCCCAAATTTTTGTGGACCCATATATGTAAGATATGTGAAAGTCTCGCACTAGGAGTGTCAATAGTTCGGTTCGATCGGTTATTTTATAAAATTTGCACCATATCAATTTTTCGGTTATTCTATTATGTATAACCAAAATTAGACTTTTCGAAACCATCCCAATCATGTCGGTTTCTCTTCGGTATCGGTACAGTTCGGTTAATTTTCGGTATTTTTTTAATGTCGTGTAAAAGTCACCAGTAGAACTAGAATGCAATAACATATATTCTTTTATAAGACTTAGCAAAACTCTCTAGATATTTTTATTGTTTAAAGGGTGATGAATTAAAAAAACATAAAAGATGGCAAGAATATAGATCAATCGACTATTCTACAGCAACGTAAAAGAAATCAAGCAAAGACAAAGAAAATATAAATCACACGAGTGGAAAGATATTAACTAATCTGAGACTTAATATAAAGTTTATAGAAGATTAAATATTCAAAAAGATAAATCTAGATTATATGAAAGGAAACATATTCAATACATTATAGTTTGCTACTCATAATAACTAAAATACTTTGTGTCTTGCCAATGAAAATGCTGGAAATAACTTAGTTTAAGTGGAAGTAGCATACTAAGAGGTTTTAGGAATTAATATTTTGAGTTAAATTATTCGTTGACTTATAACCGTTTTCATAATTTCGAGGTCCAAAGAAAAAATTAATGCTTTATTATTTTTAAACTTACTATATAAATATATTTTTCACATGTAAAATTTATTCGGTACGGTTCGGTATTTTTTCGATTTATTTTTGTAAAATAAAAAACTTACCCTAATTATCGATACGGTTATAGATTTATATAAAAACGTATGATTTTTTTAAAAGAACCTAAAAATCGGTTCGATACGGTACGGTTCGAACGATTTAATATTATCTCGCACAACTAATATCACTTACTACACACCTAAAATCACTCCCGTTCAGGTATTTCTTCTTTATTTTTTTATTGACTTTCGGCAAACGCGCAGAAGTTTCGCTTCTGAATGCTGAATAGCAGATTATTTAAACCCCAATTTTTCTTCTTGAAGAAGTTCGAAAGGCGGGTGGCATTTGTATTTTACATTGAAATTCCAGTTTAGATTTGTGCAAGTATACTAACAATGGTAGGTAAGAACTTCTCTATCCCCAATTGGTTAAATAATTGCGTACTAAACGTGTGAGTGTATTTTAGGAGTATGTAGACCAAAATAGATGCCGACAACTGGCCAAGTCATCATCTTTTTACCGCAGGATATATTCAGAGGTATGCAAACAGTCAACTCTGAAGAGTAAAGAGTGTTTTTTTTATTGCTTTAGTTTGTTTTTTGGAATGAATTTAGTTACGTTGACATCATGTTCAGCTTTTGCACTATCAAAGAGAAGCCTTTTAATAGATCATTTTTTCTCCGATATGTTTTGCATTAATTGTGGTATGTTCATCTAGAAAAATGTCAAGAGAGCCTAATGGTGTGTTTGGCATTACAGAAAATGTTTTCCTAGAAAATAAGAGAAAATAGTAGTATTCAAAGAGCTTATATTTAATCTAGGCAAACATGATGGGGGTGGGAGATGGACTATGTTGCTCGGACTNAGGGGGTGGGGGAGAGAATGAGTGTGGGATGCCACTTATGGAGAGAAAAGCCCCATGTTTTGTGCTTTCATTATCTTTGTCTTACTTGGGTAGCGCGGGGGGAGGGCTACTGCAGAACTTCTGAATTCATTTTTACAATGGACAGTTTATCCACCCGGGAGTAACATTGATGCTTAATCTTAATCATTGCTCTTTATATGAACTTGTTTGACCAAACACACAGATTAAGAAAGAGAAGAAAGTCTTTTGGAACTTGTGCTTTAAACATGTAATTTATTTGTGTTACTATAAAACTTTTGGAACTTGTGGTCTTAAAGACTTAAAGATGCGTGACATTTGTGTGGCTATAAAATTATGTCATTAAGGATAAAATAAGAAGTTTAAAGTTAAATTATTTTCAAATATAGAAAAAGGGTCATTCTTTTTGGAACGGACTAAGAACGAAATAGTGTAACGTAAAATGAAACAGAGGGAGTATATCATTGACCTTTTCAGGTAACTTTTGCAATTCTGAGGTTCATTGTAGATCATATGATCAGAAACAGTTTAGATGAGTCTTCAACATGCTTGTCTTCAATGAATTTTGCATCCGCGTTTTTTTGAAGTGCCAGGTTTTCGCTCTAGAGTTTGATTAATTTCTTATCCAACGGCTGTTTTCCCCCGTTTTCATGATGACAAACTCATTTCCCAAAAGAGACCATATTTTTCTGGTTTCTTGGATTTGGTTGCTTCACTTTGTATAGTTTTTAAGATTTGGTACATGGAGAAATTGATGAAGGTCTATTCTAACTTGTGATTTCAAGCATAACTTATTTGAATTCTGTAATGTTCAATTTCTTTGTGGAGGTTGCTTTACTTGCATTTGCATTGTGTTAACCAGTGAGGCTTAATCAATTGCAGCAGATTCTTTACTTCAATTCATTGTTGCGCAACCACTTTCAGCTGTTTTCATGGTGCAACAGTTCTGTATGCCCTGTACAATATCGTGCTTGACATTGCTCAGTTTCTAAATTAGAGATGTTAAATGTAACTTCGAACTACTATACTTGTAGCATTATTGTATATTCCTGACATCGAGATTGAATGGTTTATTACTTGCGTTAACATGCTTTAGGCATATTGTTTTTTGGGATTTTCTTTCTGAAATTATGTTGTATCCGCAGGTAGAAGAGATAGGATGGGAACACCTTGTCAGATTGGGGGAAGATCTGAGACTTCTCAGCTTTCGCATGATGTAAGGATTTTTTTTCTTTCATTTTTTAACGCTATGGTTGGTTAAAAATAGGAAGGATAGGTGTTGGTTAAGTGAAAGAAGAGGGTACAGATTAGAATTATGTATGTGAAAGCCGGAACTTAAATTTGGGAAACTAAGTACAAGCGAAAGCACTTAGTTTCTAAATTGCAGCAAGTGGAAGACCATAATTTACCTTGCTAGGCAAGAACTTTTAAGCTTTTACTGTGTGCCAGGGACAAGAATGGAAGAGTGCACATTGTTCAGATAACTTTGGATGGAATATATCCGAATCAGCCACCTTCAATATCAGCGGTTGGCATCCTTCAAATTTCTGATACTAGAGCCTTGCACTCGTTTGGCAATGTCTTAATATACTGACATTTCACCAGGACGTGCCTTATCTCTTCAATGTGGAATGGTCAATAAACTCAAGACTAAAAGATGTTATCCAACAGTTTCAGCAGGTAGTTTTGTATCATTTTCATCATGTTGTAAATCTCCCTTTATTTGCATTTTCTTTGCTTTGTAACATAATATTTAATGATCATTTCATCCACCAAAGGCATTACTTTACCTTATAAAAAATAAAAAAATAATCCATCAAGTACACCCATAATTTAATTATGTATTATAATTTCTGTTTTACTTACTATATCTTCTTGTTACTGGATTCAGCATATGGATAAGCTTCAGGAGTTTTGGAGTACAATGGATGACATTGACCACTCTCTTTTGGTTTCTGACCTAAGATATCCTCACCGTGCTTTGTCACATCGCCAACTTAATATAAGTATGTGCTTATTTACATAACTGTTCTTTGATGGGTCAGGACCCTTTATGCCAGAACTGATTCCATATGCATTCGCTTTTGTCATAGGCAATGACTGCCATATCATGTTGTGTATAGATGCTAATGATCCGACATCCCTACCAGAGTAAGTGTTCTCTAAGACCACCAGATTTTACAATTATTCCTATCTTTATGAGTTATAAATTGATGTGGAGTTCTTCTAGCTGTCGCTTTCTTGGTTCAGATTCAGAGGTGGAGAGATTGAGAGCGACGTGGAGGAGAAACTGCAAAAGATGGTATATCAACTTCCTCTTTTAGTGCTGACTTGTAATTGTCATGGTCCTTATCATTGCCTACATTGGGATGCTGATGCTATTGTCTTATAGTGCTCAAATTAACTGCTTTAAGTAATTATTCCGGTTCCAAAAATTACTAGATTTCTCCATTAGCTGGATTTTATATGTAGAAGTCTGGGAACATCCGCACTTAGTTTTTGTTGCCAATCCATAGAATTTTCTCTATGTTTGGTATTTTGAACATTTAAAAGATGAAGGGACTAGGTGGGTAAGGATCTTTTAAGTTTTGCTGAGCTTTTGCTTTTTTCCCCAGTTACGTGTCATCAACTCTGATTTCTATTCGATTCACAGGATGAAAGACAAGCCATTTTCTGAGAATCTTGAAAATATATTGGATGTTCAACTTCATGGACCTTCAAGCATTCAGAAAACTGATCCACAAACTGAATGTGGCATTTGTTATGCACAATATCTTCCGATTGGTAATCCTATATCCGTAAAATAAACCCATTGATATTTTTTGGATGATGGCATTGACTTTGTGATGTCAACGTAGATGATGAACTTGGTGCTAAGAGTGGAAGTGGCACTGATTGTACATGTGAAAATAACAGCTGCAGTAGGGCCTTCCACAGTGTTTGCCTTGGAGATTGGTTGCGTTCCATCACAACAACAAGACAGTACGTTTAGCTCCCTTATCTTAATTCTGCTTATGATGAAAACATATCCTTAACATTTTGTTATTTACTATCTCTTGTTTTCATTATGGGTGCTAGTTCAGTGTTGGAGGGAAAAAGTTTCCTAGGTTAGTTGATTTTATAGCCAGGCCGAGTTAATGCAATCCTTTAGATAAAATAATGTTCTGGGAAGGAACAGATATTGCCAATTGGAGGAGAAGCTAATGAAATGTCTGAGTATTTATCATACCAGTTTATACACTAACGCACCTGATAAGCACTGGAGAAAAGCTAAGTGAATAAGGAGAGATTAGTTAGACAAGATTTTACTTGAACTAATTATAGTGAAAAAAGAAACTCTATATGCTTTTTCAAAAGTAGGCACAGAAACTCTATCTTGAATGAACTTAGTAGGTAAGTCATATTGTTTAATGTTACCATGAAATATGCACTCTTTTCATAATAAGAAGTTCTGTTTTTCAATTTCTTTTTTCTTTTGAATGCCATTGATTACCCTCTAATCCAAATTGACTTCTTGTTGTACGATTATTGTGAGAAAATTTAATTTGAAAATCTTCTAGTGCTAATCTCGGAATATATGGTGGGGAGGGGATAGACATTGTTTGTTTTGTTTTTTGAGGAATCGTATAGAGAAAATTGTATACAAAGTAAAAGTGAGACCTTTATAATATCTTTTTGTGTTTTGAACAACTTTTTACCTTTTATTTTTTACCTTCTTTACTTTAATTAAGGAGATATTCCTTTTTCAATTCAGTTATCACATTCATCTGCTCTGTTTGTTTTGCAGGTCATTTGATGTTCTGTTTGGGAATTGTCCATACTGTTCTGATCCAATTGCTGTCAAAATCAATACTAGGAAGTAAAATAGTAAGTTACCCCTGTCAAATATTTGAGGTAATTTAGCTCGCTGTGCACAGATTACTTCGAGTGATAGAGAAGGCTGGAGATTTAGGGGAACATTACTTTGTTCGACCACCTCTCCATTTTGCATAGTGAATGTGAAACTTCTTTAGACAATATTAAATCTGCATAGAGAAGATGTTGCTTTCAAGTATGAGCAGCACTTTGTTTGAGTCGATTAGTCATGAATATGATTTGCATTTGTCATTCAGTGATGTGGAACAACCTAGTAAGTGAAACAACAACAACAAACCCATTGTAATCCCCCCTCACAAAGTGGGGTCTGGAGAGGGTAGTGTGTACGCAGACCTTACCCTTATCTTGTGTAGGTAGAGAGGTCGTCTCCGATAGACCCTCGGCTCAAGAAAAGATGAAAAAGAAGCAGAAACTAGTAAGTGAAACAAGGTAAACTAATTTTTTTTTGCTTCATGAAGTTTGTCCTGCTATTATATCATGATCGTCCTCATAATATGGAGGGTTTTGCACTAGTTGAGCATATATCAAGACACATTTAGTCAAAACTATTATTTTTGGGCCAGTTAGCGCTCACGGTTTGATACTTGGTGGATAATAGGTCAGTTCCAGTTTAATTGTAATGACCCGACTTGTCGTTTTAAGAATTTACGCCCCGTTCAGTGGCTTAAGGTCTCGAAAAGTTTTGTAATATGTATTATGACCCGTGGGTCTGGTCGAGTTTGATTTTCGGAATTTAATTAAAAGAACAATTCTTATTTAGAAGCTTAAATGGAAAGAGTTGATCGGAGAGTTGACTTTTGAGCAAACGACCCCGAAATGAAATTTCGATGATGGCAATAACTTCGTATGATGAATTTGGACTTAGGCGTATGTTCAGATTTGGATTTGGAAGTCCGTAGGACAATTCGACACATTTTGGCAAAAGTTGAAAAATATAAGATTTTGGAAAAGTCCGACCGAAGGGTGAATTTTTTATAACAAGGTCGGATTTCGATTTCGGAAATGGGAATAGCTCCCTTACGTCAATTATGACCTGTGTGCAAAATTTGAAGTCATTCCGGATTGATTTGATACGTTTCGGCGCAAAATATAGAAGTTGAAAGATTTGAAAACTTATAATTCGATTCGATGCGCGATTCGTAATTCCGGCGTTGTTTGATGTAGTTTGAAGCCTCGACTAAGTTCTTATTGTATTTTGGGACATGTTGGTATAATTGGTTGAGGTCTCGGGGGCCTCGGGTGGATTTCGGAAGGTTAACGGAGCAATTCGGACTTGGAAGAAGCTGCTGGATTCGCACCTGTGGAATTTTGGGCGCAGGTGCGACCTCGCAGAAGCGAGGATTTCGTCGCAGAAGCGAGCTGGGCAGAGCTGGAGGAAGGTCGCAGATGCAGACAACCTTCCGCACCTGCGCAATCGCAGGTGTGATGTTTTCTACGCAGATGCGACGAGTCAGCGCAAAAGCGGAATTTGTTGCGCACCTGCGATCATCGCAGAAGCGGAAATAGCTCCGCAGGTGCGAGCTTGTGGCTGGGCAGTGATCATCGCAGATGCGCATCTTGGCTCGCAAAAGCGAGGCCGCATATGCGGAAAATTAGTTCGCATGTGCGAAACTGGGCAGAATGTTAAGGACCAAAAATGGTCATTTCGCCATTTTTCGATTGAGATTTTGGAGCTCGATTTTTGGACGATTTTGGAGGAGTTCTTCAAGACTTTGACTTGAGTAAGTGTTCTATATCATAAAGTGATTATATTTCATGAATCTATGATTATATTCATCATTTAATTCGGATTTAATGGAGAAAAAATCAAGATTTTTGTAAAATCTTCCAAAAATGAAAAATTTAAGATTTGGAAGTCGAATTATTGGAATTCGATAAAATTGGTGTGGTTGAACTCGTATTGGAATGGGTGTTCGGATTTAATGAAAATTATGTCGGGTTCCGAGAGGCGAGTCCCGCGTTGACTTTTGTTGACTTTTTGGGATAAATTTTTAAGTCGACGTATTATTATCTGAAATTATTTCCGACGAATTTTAATGGAGTTATACAATTAATTTGGATAGATTTGAGCTGTCTGGAGGTCAATTCAAGCAAGAAGGTTATTTTGGAATATTGGCCTAACTTCAAAAAGGTAAGTATCTTTCTTAACCTCGAATGGGGGAATTACCCCTTAGGCATTGAGTCTTATGTGCCATTTGTGAAATGTGAAAAACCGTGTACGCGAGGTGACGAGTACGTACTCGGGCTTATACGTGCAAAATTCATTGAATTAAAGTCTTGGCATTATTGTGTAGTAAATTGGGAAATTATGAAAAATTATTAAATCATCTGTTTGCCATGCCTAAATCCTTATTGTTGAATTTGTTTTTATATGATAATTTTATGTGATTGTTACTTGAAATATTCATGAAATTTCGTGAGTGTTGTTGCTTTAATATTTCTTGGATATTAATTCCAATATGAATTTTCTTATGCAAATAATTAATTTATGCGAGTTTAAGAATAAGTGTTATTATAATTATTTAAATTTGCATAAATGAAGATTTTGCTTTATGCTGAGTAATTTCTATCTCTATTGATTGTTTTATGCTGATTAATTTCTATCTCTATTGATTATTTTTAAGTGTTATATACATTGTGTGGAGCCTTGGGCTATTTGTTGTGAAGTTAATTAATTTTGTTATATTTTTGGAATTTGGTTGTGGCCATTGGGTAAATTGTGATATGAATTGATTTTATTATATTGTCGTGTTAATTTCCCGTGTAAATTGTTGTATTGTGTGAGTTACTATTTTGGGGAGATAAGGGTTGCATTTCACCGTTGATATTATGTGGGTATAACGGTGGCATTTCATTGTTGTTGTGTTTGTTGAAATATTGTCTGGGCGGAGCGGTAAGGGTGGCTATATGAGCGATAAGGGTGGCAATATGAGAGATAATGATGGCTATTGATATTGTCTGGGCGGAGCGATAAGGGTGGCTATAGGAGTGATAAGGGTGGCAATAGGAGCGATAATGGTGGCAATAAGAGCGATAAGGGTGACTATTGTCAGGGACGATATGTGATGATGTGGAATTGTGATGTTGATAATTTTCATGTGATGTGATTTTCTTGTGTTTATTTCTATACCTTGTGCAACTTGTCTTCTTGTTGGTAAATTGATAACAATCTGATTTATGTTGAATTTGAGAGCCTGTGGCTATTGCCAGGCAGATTATAAAATGAAATGTGGGAACGAGGTGCCGTGAGTAAATAATGAGAATAATTGGCATGTGAATTGTCCGTACAGTTGTGATATGAAATGAGGGCACGAGGTGTCGGGAAAATATGATGATTTAATCATGGGCACGAGGTGCCGTGAAAATATGAAAATGGGCTGAGACCTGTGTTTACGAAAATATGAAAATGGGTTGAGACCCGTATTTTTATGATTATGAAATGAGGTGTCACATGGTGAATTTTTAATTGAAAGGATTATATTCAAAATATTTATTTGGAAGGATTTTTACTTAGAAAGTATTATTTGAAAGAATTTTATTTGAAAGATATTTATTTGAGGAAATTATATTTGAAAAGATTTATTGAAAGAATTATATTTTAAAAATAATTATTTGAGAAAATTATATGTGAAAGACATTTATTTGAAGGAGTTGATTTAATTGGGTGTACTTGTGTTTATTAATTGTTGAGTGATATTAATGGTATTCTTGTTGTCTGCTGTGCATATCACTGGTTGTTCCATGTTGTCCTATTGTTATTTGCTTCATATTATTTTGTATATTATATTGCACAGGTTATTAGACTAGTTAGTGTCTTAACTGTACCTCGTCTCTACTCCATTGAGGTTAGTCTTGATACTTACTAGGTACCAACCGTGTCGTACTCATACTACACTTCTGCACATTTTTGTGCAGAGCCAGGTATTGAAAATATCGGAATGGAGTAGAGTTAAAGCGCGATCATAAGGATTCAAGGTAGAGCTGCTTGGCCGTCGCAGTCCCTTGGAGTCTTTTCATTTCATTGTACTGTTAATTTGTAATCAAACATTATTGTATATTCAGTCATCGTGATCATTCCATGTATTCAGTTAGAGTTCGTGACTCAGTACTACCAATCTTGGGAGGTTGTGTATTGTAATTATTTTCGCTGTTAAATTTTTTTTAAAAAAAGGCTTCAAAATGTAATAGAAATCGGCTTACCTAGTCTTAGAGACTAAGTGCCATTACGACACATGTGGAATTTTGGGTCGTGACAAGTTGGTATCAGAGCTCTAGGTTCATAGGTTCTACGAGTCACGAACGAGTCTAGTAGAGTCTTGTGGATCCGTACGGAGACGTCTGTACTTGTCTTCGAGAGGTTACGGCACTGTTAGAAAATTTTCACTTCTTTCATTCCCGTCGTGCGGAATTTGTTGAAATTGGAATTTGAGCCTTTGTGTCTCTATTCTTTCACATATGGTGAGGAGACGTGCTACCAGGTTAGCTGAGTAGACATCTGCACATACTGCTAGGGCTGCAAGAGGTTGGGGCCGAGGTAGAGGCCGAGGAAGGGCATGTGCTACGACTAGAGCACCTGTCAGAACAACCGTTGAGGAGCCACCAGTAGCTCCAGTTGGGGGACAGGTATCAGAAGCACATGTTGTTACCCCCAGACTTCAGGAGACTTTAGCACAGTTTCCGAGTATATTTGGTACATTAACTCAGGCGAGATTGATCTCTGTTGCACCAAACATTCCGCAGATTGGGGGAGTAGCTCAAACTCCTATCTCAACTCCAGAGCAGCAGGTTCACGTTGGTCAGGTTCCGGGTGTAGTACCGGTACAACTTATTATTTCGGTTCGACCTGAGGTCAGACCCGAGTCATCAGAAGAAGAACAAAAGAGACTTGAAAGGTTTAAGAGGTATAGTCCACCTACTTTCAGTGGCACAACTACAGAGAATGCCGAAGAATTTCTAGAAAATTATCACCGTATTCTCCGCACCATGGGTATTGTGGAGGTGAGCAGAGTTGCCTTTACTATATTTCAACTATCAGGCGCAGTGTATCGATGGTGGCAAATATATGAAGAAGGTAGACCAGCCGATGCCACACTACCAACTTGGGCTCAATTTTCGGAAATGTTCTTGAAAGAGTTTGTTCCCCAGACTCTTAAAGATGCGTGGCGCACAGAGTTTGAACGGTTGCGTCAGGGCACTATGATAGTGTCAGAATATGCTATCAGGTTTAGTAAGTTA